GTGCAAGTAGATAAATAGGGACCGCTTACTGGCGGGAAGGTAAACGGCGTTTCCGTGTGCGGCTCTGGTGCCGGTTCGCCAGAGCAGCTTTGTCACGCTGGCCACATGACCCGGAAGTGTCTTCGGACAGCTCTGGCTCCCGGCCTCTTAAGTGAGATGGGCGCACAACCCTAGAGTCTGTCAAGACTGGCCCATACGGGCAGGGGTACCTTTACCTTTACCTTTAATGTAAAACTAAAAGTCTCATTCATGTGTCTTGCTCACCAAAATGCTATACCCTGGTGCCCTCCTGTTCATGGCTGTGCTGGCTGGGACTGATGGAGTTGTAGTCCAAATCTTATGGAGGGCACCAGGTTGTCGAAGATTGCTGTACACACTAACTGTTTTCTCTGGAATGGTCATCATTTCTTTCATTCATTTTTTATGGAGAATCTAAAAACTGATGCTGCCAAACTGTTGCATTTCAGTGCTGTCTGCCTCATTTTTTCAGACTCTATGTGTACTACTTTAAAAGAAAAACAAACTGCTTTAGTTGCAGCATCAACCTTTCCAGTGCAGTCTGGCAAAATTCTGCTGCCATTTAGCAGGGGCCCTTAATAAGCTGCTTCCTTCTTGCCCCTCTCTATCACAGCAGTGTCCTTTCATGACATACTTCTTGTTCACTTGCTTAGAATTCCTCCATAGCTAGAAAAAAGGCCGGGTTCGCACATCACTTTAAACTATTGTTTGAAATAAATTAACCATAATTTAATATGAATAAGCAGCATGCTGTTACACCCTGCTCAAAAGCACACTTTGCTCCTCCCTGACTTCTTCCTCCATTGTGACAGGGAGGCAAGAGAGGTTGCTTTCAAGTTATGTGTGAACACATAGCTTGCTTCCCCCAAACCAAACCATGAACAGTAAGCTAAGAACTAAGCTTGCCTTACCATTTATGGTTTGCTTGTGGGAAACAAACCTTGAGTGCTCGTTCACAACCTCTGGTTTATTGGGATAGCTCAGCCAATAGAGCACGAGACTCTTAATCTCAGGCTCATGGGTTTGAACCCCATGTTGGGTAAAAGATTCCTGAATTGCAGGGAATTGGACTAGATTACCCTGGTGGTCCCTTCCAACAGTTCTATTATTCTATGATCTACCCTGGCTAAGGACAGGCAGCAGTGCGGTGAGGAACACTGCTTTAATTGCTGTGTTGCTTTAATGGGATTGTTTCATTGCACATTTTAATCGTAATTTATTTTAAATTATTCTGCATTTAGACAATGTTGTGCAACTGGTTTTTATGTTTTTAGAGTCATCTGGGCATTGAGCAGTACCTAAACGAACAACAACAACAACAGCAGCAAAACACATGTGATTTTAGCAGTGTGCTACTCATTCACTTTAAGCCATGGTTTATTTAAAACCATGATTTAAAGGAGCCTTTTCCAACCCACGTTCTATTATGCACAGCCTTCTGGAGGCTGCCTGCCAGAGTGATCAGGGCCTGAGGCAAGAGTGAACAGAGCAATGTGACTCTCTCCTTTCCACAACATTCCAGCCATGCAAATATCATAGGTTTCTACACACAAACACATGCACACACACACATTGCCTCCATCCATCAGGCAAGAAGCATCATCGCAGCTCAAGGATACCATCAAGCCATTCAAACCTGAGGAGGTTGCAGAGTAGGGCCAGTGAGGGATTTGGCCCGGAGAAGGGACACAGCCTGGGAAGACTTTTGTGGGTTCGAGAGAGCCCAGAGGTCTCATCAGCGCCAGTCAGCATGGTCAAGGGTCAGTGGAAAATGGTAGTTATATCTCCCACTCCAGAGCTTTAAAAATGTGTTAGTATCATGTGAAATTTCTCCTGAAAACCTAACTTTTAGTTAGTGAAGGCATTTTCAAGTTGGCAGTGCTGGCTTGCTGCAGGTTTCTCTTTTTAGACTGTCTGTGGTTGCAGTTGAATTAATTATAGTCGTGATTTTAGCACAATGAGCAGCAGTTTCATTTTTAATTAGCTGTGGATATGCAAGCCCGGTATATGAGAAGTAGGGTAGAAATAACACAAATAAAATCAGAAATGGGCAACTTTTTAAAAAGCCTATGAACCACCCATCCCAACAGATTTAAATCTTTCAGGGATTTAAAATATAAAGACAAATGATGCAGAGTGCCATCCTAAATTTATTAAAAGAAGCCCTTCACATAGATTTTTAACTGTTGCATGGCTTCCGGATTCTACTCTCTACTCTGTCGACTGTTGTAGTTTTGCAAAAGTGAAATTCCGCCTACCCCTGAAACCTGTGGGATGACCAGATTTGGTTTATAAAATAAATATTCAGTGCCACTGTAAGTCTCCTACATGATATTATTCAAACACAGAAATCTGTTCACCCAACAGTTTACCACCACATTCCAATTATTTGCCTTCCTGGGAGAGCCTGAAAGAAATGTGAGGAAAAAACCCCTTGACTGACAAACTGCCATGGTTTTATATTTCAGAGCCTTAAATTTACATCCTGCTGTCTAGTGCTTCCTGTGAGAGGAGAGTTTGCACTATTTCTGAAGCACAGATATAAACAAGCAACGTTTCTAGATGGAACTGATCTGACTATGAGTTATAGGTATTACAACCAACTTTTCTTCCCTTCCAATACTCTGCCCCTAACAGAAATCTTAATAGGCTTTTGAGAGCCTCCATTTAAAGCTGGCTGCATAAAATGATCCTTTGATGAAAAGGGATTGAAACAAGGGTTAAAGTAGACACTGAAAGGTTATTGTAGAGGGCACAATGGTCGTGCAATCCTCCTTTAATATGTGTGGTGTGCACCTGCGATAAGATGATTCATTAGATAAGGCCTCACTTTGACAAGCTCCATCGTTCAACCCTCGGGGTAGTGATGGGACAATTCTGTACCCACCCAGTAAATATAACAAGGTCAGCATTTTTTCCTTGTGGGACTTATATGATGAGGAGAGCGAGCTCCAGATGTATCTTTGCTTATGCTCTATGTTAATAATAAGTTTTCAAAAAGCAGCCCCCAAAACATGATGCTTGAGGGTACTCCTTTTAATATTTAAACACACTGGACAGAATAAATAAATGCCACTTCTGTCTCAGATAAGTAAATTGGTGATATCAAATCACAGAGAAGAAGAATTTATTGCTTCTTCGTTTTTGAATTATATGTCAATAACTGTGGAAGCACAAATACTACACAATCACTGGTTTCAATGACTGTCAATAATGATACTCAGTGCTTTTTTTCTGGGGGGATGTAGGGGTATGCATACCCCCTAAACATTTTGTGAATCTAAGTTTGGCCTCATTGAGGGGCAGTATTTCAATATGAGTAGGAAAAGGAGAGTACCCCTAAACATTTTTTAAGGAAAAAAAGCACTAATGATACTATAGCTGTGATTACAAGTTATTAAAAGTAATGTTGGGAATAAGCATTTACAAGAGGTTGGAGGGGTTTTGGGGTGCCTGTGTGAGGTCCCCCCACCATGGTTAATAGAATACTGGGAAATTATGTTTAATTAGTGGGCTTCATATAATGGTGTGGCTATTATATGAAGAGAAGTAATATCAAGAAGAATTATACAAATGAAGGTGGTATGTCATTTACTTGCAATCAAGGCTGCTAAAAGACTCCTTGAGGAGAATCCATTAGCTTGCTTTCCACCTAAGCCCAAGGGGCACAGGTTAATTCTGGAAGAAAAGGAGACACAGAGTTCTGTGCAGTGGATTGGAAAACCACATGTTGCTTCATGTTCCTGGGGGAAGTAAAGGAGTGCCTCACGTTAAAATGAATTGCCAGACCAGGGAGGCCTTCAGCAGCTCCTCTAGGTCAGATGTAGATGCGCCATCATGTGTGGGTAGGATTATGGTGAACAATTAAAATAAATGTAGTAATATGGAGTTAAATACCAAAGGCTAGTCCATTGCTCTATTGCAGGGGTTTTCTTTGCTACATAGGTAAAGGTAAAGGGACCACTGACCATTAGGTCCACTCGTGGCCTACTCGGGGGTTGTGGCGCTCATCTCGCTTTATTGGCCGAGGGAGCCGGCGTACAGCTTCCGGGTCATGTGGCCAGCATGACTAAGTTGCTTCTGGCGAACCAGAGCAGCGCACGGAAACACCATTTACCTTCCCGCCAGAGCAGTACCTATTTATCTACTTGCACTTTGACGTACTTTCGAACTGCTAGGTTGGCAGGAGCTGGGACTGAGCAACGGGAGCTCACCCCGTCGCGGGGATTCGAACCGCCGACCTTCTGATTGGCAAGTCCTAGTCTCTGTGGTTTAACCCACAGCGCCACCCGCGTCCTTCTTTGCTACATACCTGGTCTTTATTATATGAAAGAAGCAGGACGTGCAAAAAAATGAGCTGTGGAGTGATCCTGTTCAATGTTCTAGCCAGCAAACCATCCCTCCCTAGGATATTTTATTTTCTCTCCAGCTGATTTCCCATTTCCTCATCAACAGTCAGTGTTTTGTGTCCACAGAGCATGCTCAGCCCATACTTTGATGTTTGGACCCACTCGTTTGTCATAGCCCTCCTCTGAACATCTGGTATCTCCTTTCTGTTTTCATGGCTGTCATCATGTCCCACTCAACTCACCAACTGAGCTTGCTATTAGACAGTGATTTCAATAAAGTTGTTTGATCTCAGCACGAGCTTAAAGGTACTTAAAGGTATGTCACCTACATGTGATCAGGGTAGGTAGCAGCTACTGTATTGTGCCCCCGTGTGGCCTGCAGCCCACACACACACAGAATATATTGTGTGATGAGAGGCCTAAACACATACATTTGTAGGTACTGTATGAAGCATAGTCTTTATATGAAGAGCTGCCACTTTAAAGAAGACTGGACTGAAGAATGATTTATTTAAGTCTACTCACCCACCAATATATGTGCAGCTAGAAATTGCAGTCATGCATAAGGAATTCATTTCTACCCCAAATCAATATGCCATATGAATTCACTGTTTCCTCCTGTCTTCCACTCACCTGTCCTTGTGCATTAGTGACTAGTTGACCTGTGACCCCCTGTAGACCGGAGAGTGCATTGCCAAAGGCCTGCGAGCTGGCTATGGAGCCCATGGCGGCGGCTGCCGCTGCTGCCGCTGCTTGGCTTGCTAGAGGATTATTAACCAGCTGGAAAAAAAGGAAGAAAAGAGCAATGCGTAAGGCCCCTCATAGCAACTCAGCTGCTACATACCTATATACTGCTAATGGATCTTAGGGTATCAGCATGATGGGAAAGTACCGTTGATCTGAAAATTTCACAGTGTTTAGAGAGCCTGTTAGATTATGTGCATTATCAGCCAGTTTGAACCCAAACTCTTTACAAGTCCTGCTAGGATCAGCTGAAATGATTCCACATGAAGTGACCCATCGTCAAGAGGAACATGCCCAAAGAATCTTTTCCATCTGCAGGGACTTCTTCACGTGAGGATTGTCGTTGTTTAAATTTATATAGCCGCCCTTCATCTGAGGATCACAGGACGGCTTACAGTTTAAAAACACAAAAATACTTAACATGATGAAGAAGAAGAAGAAGAAGAAGAAGAAGAAGAAGAAGAAGAAGAAGAGGAGGAGGAGTTTGGATTTGATATCCCGCTTTATCACTACCGTAAGGAGTCTCAAAGCCGGTTAACAATCTCCTTTCCCTTCCTCCCCCACAACAAACACTCTGTGAGGTGAGTGGGGCTAAGAAACTTCAGAGAAGTGTGACTGGCCCAAGGTCACCCAGCAGCTGCATGTGGAGGAGCAGGGAATTGAACCCGGTTCACCAGATTACGAGTCCACCACTCTGAACCACTATACCACACTGGCTCTCTAAACAAACAAAACAATACCCCCCAGCATGGTTTAAAAGGCCATAGGTTGTTTAACTGGCCAAATGCCTGGCACCAGGTGAGCTACTGCAGAAAAGGCCCATTCTCACATTGCCACCCTCTGAACCTTTCATGGAGGAGGCACATGAAGAAGGACCTCAGATGATTGCAGAGTCTGGGTCGGTTTATATGGGGAGAGGTGGTCCTTGAGTTACTGTGGTCATGAGCTGTTTAAGGCTTTATAGATCAAAAGCAGTGTTTTGAATTGGGCTGGGAAGCTAATTGGCAGCCAGCGCAGTCAGGCCAGGATCGGTGTAATATGCTGAAACCATCTTGCCCCGAATTCTGCACCAGCTGAAATTTCCAAACCATCTTCACAGGCAGCCCTACATATATCGTATTGCAGTAATCCAGCCTAAGAAGTTAGGCTATCTCTGCCCAGATAGGGGTACAGCTGGGCTATCAGCCGAAACTGATGGTAGGCACTCCGTGCCACTGAGGCTCAAGCCATGGATCCAGAATGGACCCAGAAGGACCCCCAAGCAGTATACCTGCTCCTTCCGAGGAAGCGCAGCCTAGCCCAGGGGTCTCCAAGCTTTCCTTGCCTCGGGTCGGTGTCTTGAGTGACAATTGTGCCACAGGCCAGAGGGTAGGGGAGCACGTGCCATAAGAACACACTATTTTCGGTGCACTTACGGGTCGGAGGAGAACCAGAAATAGCTTGTGCACATGTGCATGGGCCTCCTCCGACCCCGATGTGCACCAGAAATAGGGTTTGCGCATGACCCTGTTTTCGGTGCACATCCGGGTTGGAGGAGGCCTGTGTACATGCACACAAGCTATTTCCAGTGCTCCTCCAACCCAGAAGTGGGTCCCCGTGCTGCGCCGGTAAGAGCAGGTGGCAGCAGGTGACGGGCTGGATAAATGAGTCCCTCTGGCCTTATCCGGCCCCCAGGCCGTAGGTTGGTGACCCCTGGCGTAGCCCCATCAAGACCAGGCAACCTCCCATCCATTTGTATAACCACCCAGTGCCTCAGTTTTATCTGGATTGAGCATCAGTTTGTTGGCTCTCATCCAGTCCATTACTAAGGCAAGGCAACAGTCCAGCACTTCCACTGCCTCACCTGCAGATCTAAAGAAGTAGGGCTGTGTGTTATCAGCATATTGGTGCCAATGTACCCCAAAACTCTGGATGACCCCACTTAGCGGTTTCATGTAGATGTTAAATAGCATGGGGATGAAATTGAGCCCTGAGGAACTCCGCATTGAAAGCTCCACGGGGCTGAAAAGCACTCCCCTCTGGGAGCGACCATCCAAGTAAGGACAGAACCACTGCAAAGCGGTGCCACCCGCCCTCAACTCAGACAGCCGCTTAATTCTCACTAAATTTTAGTAAGTTAGTATTATTATTATTTTATTAATTGCCTTCTAAACCACCACCTCAAGGTGATTACACAGAAAATAGTTAAACACAGTTTAAAATACAAAATAAACAAGACTAAAACCCTGAACAATATTCTGTTTTCTTAAAAGTACTGTGCACAGTTGTTTGACACAGGAATCTTGCAGCTTCCTAGGATTATAATAATCAATTCACATGTTATTTAATACTCTTTTCTACTAAAGAGAGGGAACCTGTTTTTGCATTTAAATTTAGTAGCTTAACATAATAGAAATATGTAGACCATAATATCAAAAGGTTTGGTTTTTCCAGTGACTTTAAAAATAGCTGGTTTTCACAGATATCTGCTCATTATATACATTTGTTGTGGCTGAGATATTTGCTGTCTAAATCTACTTAAAATCAAATCTACTGCTCTCAGGAATAAGTTCTGATAGGGATATTGCTGATGCAACCTGACTTGATTCAATATGAATTGACACAACCTGAGGTGATGAGAACAGCATATCCTTCAACATACATCCTGGTTCCACTCATTATGTGGCAAAGATTATGGGTGGTCTCCAGCCATTTTTAGTGTGATCAAATTAGAAACCTAACCAAAACGCTGCCATCCCAAAGCAGCCCAAACAAGTGATTTCCAGCTGTAAATGTATTTAAGCAGCATTATTTTTAAAAGAGTGTTCTTTTGTGAGGACGTTGTTGCATATCCACATATGCTGATAACGTATGATTAGGATAAAAATGTGATAGAAATGCTTAAGGAATGCTTTTGGGACCCGGTCCAGACTCACATTATCAGGGGAAAGGGGTGCATATTTGCTGGTCAAATATGTAAGTTGATAAATTACTAAGAAAATAATAATTTATTTCCGCTCAGTCTGCTAACATGGTCAATGCACAGAAGAGAGCCATGGCCAATTTCCTGTTGAGAACAGGAATATATGTAAAAATCTTGATCCAAGAAAGACAATCATATTTTCTTATCTGTTTGAGATTCCCTAATTGTGTGTCTTATTTTGTATGTTGATTGATTGATTGATTGATTGATTGTGAGATCTGTTGGCTGGATCAATAAATTCAGTGATTGACATACATTTTGAAATGTATTATATCTAAGGCATCTTATGTGTATACCTAAAAAGGCAAAGTGTCATCTCAGGCCATCGGTAGTGTTTGGGTGCCACTTGATGAATCAGGGCACAGGGTTAGTGGCAATCTTGTTGGGCTGGGTCCTTCATTTTGCAGCTTTCCAGACCTTCACACTAGTCATCTATCAGAGCATTGTACAGTAACAAACACAATTTTATGAGTCCTACTATATGATGGCCAGGCAGTGATACTAACCATACAAGAGTGTATCTAACTAACATGCTGGATCAGAATTATGTTGGCGGCCGACACACAAAATAATCACAATACCTGTGATGTAGCGCTGGCACACATGTGTGTGTGCAACTTTCAGATGGTGCTTTGGTGATGCACTAACTCAGGTGAAACAAAATGTACAAAAATTCCAATTCTGATTTTATTTGAATATTGTGCAAACATTCACTCTCTTCCTTTGTCACCACTGTGCCTACAGCTCTTGTTTTGGCACCCTCAGCTGTTCCCAGGGGTGCCAACTTGAATAAAATATTGTGGGGGCCCAGATAAACCCTGCATAATTGATCACATGATGCAGTGCACACAGATCATTTGAATGGGAATGCCTATCAACTTTGTGGGGGCCCGGCCCCCTCCAATCTTTTATTGTGGGGGCCTAAACCCCCAGGGCCCCAGGAGTTGTCTCCTATGGCTGTCCCTGTTTCCTCCCTGGATCTGCTGGATCCTACAAAGATCCCACAAGATCTATACAACCAGGGATTACACCAATGAGGATGCCACTGTAGGAAAATGAAGGCAACTGAAAATGAAGATAAGTGAGGTCAATGTGAATGAAGAAATTAATATTTCTGAATTGAAAAGCTGCCCAAACGGTGAGCTGTTTAGGGTTCTGTGAAAAACTGAGTAGTTTTGACTCAGCTTCAGGTGAAATGAGAACGAAGTTAGAATCCAAATAAACAAATATGTATACAATTCTTTGTCAACAAAAAACACCCTATTTGTTTTTGTGCTAATTAGAACGATATTGTCACAGGCTGCAATTTTTGCTCAGCTCTAGAGGCTGAATGTCATACGAATGATTCTGCTATAACTGGAGCTGTATATGAAGGGAATGCCCAAGGATTGATGTGGAAATTGTTTCCACGGAGAAGCCTCCCTCCTCTGCAGACTTTCATGAGATTCAGTGCCAGCAAGACACCTACTGCCAAAATGAGCTCTAAGTCCCGCTACAGATGCTGCTCTGTCAGGGGTCTATTAGAGAGGCTACGTAGGGCTTACAGTTATTGGGTAGGGTTGGGACCAGTTCAATTTCAGGCCTTAACAACAAGGTAATTTCAGGTGGAGTTTTGTTAAAGCTATTTTAAGAAGCTCAGGAAACGGCACACCGGGTGTCCTGAATTCTTAGTGTTCTTGAATCCTTAATGTATTTTGTGCAACTTCTATCTGTCACCCATTCATGCTCCAAAGCTGAATTTATTTAATTTTTTTATTGCATTTTACTCTTGTCAGCTTTGTTCAGTCAAAGCCACAATTTGGAAATCTTTTGATGAGGACGGTTGCAGCATGAACAGAGCACCCCTGAGAGCATGAGTGTCAGATCAGGGTCAGCGTGGGAAAAGTACTGGTTCCTTGCTCCCTGGGCCATCATTACTGTTAATCTGAGGAGGGAACTGAAGATTTGTCAGTCCAGCCAGAAAGCTGTAATGAGTAACTTGCTAGCTGCATCTTATCAAACTGGAAGACAGGTGAGCCACAGGACACAATAGTATGCCACTTTCCCATGATTTCTGGATCACCTCAACATTTCT